CCCCCCTCCCTCGCCCATACACACACACACACATTCCCACACACACACACACACACACACACACCCCACATCCCCCACACTCACCACTCATGACAGTGGACAACTTGGAAGTGAAGGGTGAGGCCACACTAGCATCTCCCAGACGTATCACCTGAGCCTTCTCCTCCTCCTCCATCTCTTTGATCAGGGCTTGCAATTTTTTCTGTTCAATACAACAACAAAAATTGTTCAAAACACACCAAAAAAATTATGTAAAATTCTGTTAAAAAACGAAGAACTATTCAAAACAAAACAAACCCTGCACCCCCAACAAATTATTGAAATTGAAACAAAATCTCCTCCACTTTTTTGCCACTTACGTTCGATGGAAAACGAAACAGCAGTGGAATTTTTACCATTTATGTTCAAAGGAGAACGAAACAGTAGAGGAATTTTTACCATTTATGTTCAGTGGAGAACGAAACAGCAGTGGAATTTTTACCATTTATGTTCAAAGGAGAACAAAACAGCAGTGGAATTTTTGCCATTTATGTTCAGTGGAGAACGAAACAGCAGTGGAATTTTTGCCATTTATGTTCAGTGGAGAACAAAACAGTAGAGGAATTTTTACCATTTATGTTCAGTGGAGAACAAAACAGTAGTGGAATTTTTGCCATTTATGTTCAGTGGAGAACAAAACAGTAGAGGAATTTTTACCATTTATGTTCAGTGGAGAACGAAACAGTAGTGGAATTTTTGCCATTTATGTTCAATGGAGAACGAAACAGCAGCGTAATTTAAACTTCACTCTCCACTTCTTCAAACTTTTCCGGAACATGCAAACCATTTTTTAATATAATATCAGAAAGAAACACAAGCGCAGTGACAGATCAGACGACGTTACCTGTTGAGCTTGTAGGTTGTCTCCCCTATTGACGGCCCTCATCTTGGCCGCGCGGTTCATGGGTCGGCCCTGCATGGCCCGGTGGTTGGCTGGCCCGGCGTTGGCCGGCTGACGGTCCACAGAGCTGCCTGCGTCTCCGTCCTGGAACAAAAATTTTCATGAATCTTGTTTTCATGTCCCCATCAACGCACTTCAGATCATTGAGGAGCTGGGCTTCCAAACCTGCCTGTCAAGTCAACCTGGGCTCAGAGGGATGCAACATCCCAGCAAAAAGAGCAAGATACTCGTGGGCACAGAGGGATACAACATCCCAGCAAAAAGAGCGAGATACTCATGAGCTCAGAGGGATACAACATCTCAGCCAAAAGACAGAGATACTCGTGGGATCAGAGGGATACAACATCTCAGCCAAAAGACAGAGATACTCGTGGGCACAGAGGGATACAACATCCCAGCAAAAAGACCGAGATACTCATGGACTCAGAGGGATACAATATCCCAGCAAAAAGACCGAGATACTCATGGGATCAGAGGGATACAACATCCCAGCAAAAAGACCGAGATAAAAAATCCTCCCAACCTGGAAATGGAATTTAGGTCTCCGAAACATTGTTGTACTTTTTGTGTCTCTTTGAATCATTTACACAAAATGGTCAATAATAATTTTTAAAAACAATGATAATAATACAATAATAACTGCATTTATGCATAACAAATAACATTACATCAAACAGTGTTGCCCACATTTTTAAAACTCATAACGACATTTGGCACGTAAAAGCAAAGTGATACAGAATTTTTACAAAAATATTTTCATCGACATTTATAAGTGTACCAAACTCTGCTATTGCATGTAGAAACCTCAAAACTCAGAGAAACTGTGGCAAAGACTGAAAAACATTTCTTAAAAATTTTAATTGCCGACACATTTGTACTCACCACTGCCTCTTTCTTTTTGCGATCTGGGACTCGTTCTGGGGCATTTGCAAGAAGAGCAACTCCTGTAGAAACGCAGAGACAAAACTGATCAATACAAATGTGTCACGACCTGGTGGAATCAGGCGCTCCTCAATTTTTGGACACATGGGGATATTGGTATCATCTTAAAGCCTGTTCATTTGCCTTCCTTTCGGTGAAAAAATATCCACCTATGTTGAATAAAAGTCGAAGTATTTGCGATTGAAAGAGGTCAGGGTCGCCTGGTTTCAGAGGTAAAATTAGCGAGAAAATGGCCACCAAAGTTTAGTAACTTCCACAGCCTGAGAATCCTTGGAAATTGAAAATGTACATTCCTTGTGCCTTTAATAAATGTTTTTCAGTAAAATCCACACAAGATGTGTTTTTCAATAGACACAAAATGTTTGGAGCCAAAATAAGGAAATTAGCAAAAATTGTCCATCCGCCAAAAAAATGCAGATTTCTTTGATTTAATTATTTTGAGAAGTGCCTGATTTCACCACGATGCCTCACATATATATTATATACAGTGGAGTCTGTTAACACCAGACACGATTAACCCACGAGCAGCGGTAAACCAAAGAAAACAAAATTCCAAATTTTTGCTTCTTTCATTTGAGCTACCTCCCTAACCTAAAAACACCACTAAACCAAAGAAAATCCGACGGTCCTGCAGAAAGTGTATTCAGCTACATTCCACAAAATCCCCTCATCGTCTACATAATTTTTCCTTGACGGAAGGCTTGGCTGGGATAAAAATAGATCACTGACAATAAGCTGTCGCCTTTTCTTATTTCTACGATGGAAAGTGTGTCAGAGTCAGTATCAGTCGTTGGTCAGAATTTGTTTTTTTACTTCCAGTAAGTGCAAAAGAGGGTGAGCATCAGGAGACTGCTTCGTAGACAGGAAGTTGAAGAAATTGACAGCCATTACAGGCTAAGAATATCAACAGGAAAGGGTCAGAGATGCCATCTGCCTATGAAAAAAGTCCAGAACTTTTCAAACCCACAGAAACGCGCAATGGGACTAAAAATTTACTAATCATATTAATATCAATAAACGTATCAAGAAATCTGGCAAAATTCGGACAATTTCAGAAATCCAAATTTCCCGACTTATCAGTTTATCAGCAAAAGTGGCACCTCTGAAGGAGTAAGCAGCCCCCCTCCCCCCCTCGTTTCTCACCAACGTCCGCGTGTTTGAGAGCTCCAACATCATTGGTCCCATCTCCACACATCAAGGTTATGTAGCCCTGAGACTTCAACGCCGTGATAATCAATTCCTGGAAAAGAAAACGACCAAAAGAAAAAAAATGAAAATGAAAAATGATGGGGGAAGGTAGACATTCAACATGGGTGGTTGGCAGGTGCTCTGGTGTTGTCTGCTTTTTCTTTCCCGTCAAACATCTATCCTCCTCGTCTCTCCTCTTTCTTTTTTGTGTTTGTTTTTCTCTTGTAACACCTGTATTCTTCGGCACTTATACAACCTAACTGAGATGCAAGTGCAAGTGTCGTAAAATACTTACTAAAACTAACACATCTACAAACTCCCTTCCATTATGCTTTCAAGCCTGTTTACATTTTAATTTTACTTTGCAATCAAATGTTCAAGCTGCATCTTTCTCACAACATCATCTGCATCATCGCAATCGTTAAAGCACAACTTGAAAACACAGCAAAAAAATACAAGCGAATCCAAAAGTAGTTATTTCATGAGTGGTCGTTGACACCAAGCCACATAAACAACAGCAACTTTTCCCCAAGAACGGGTTGGGACAAAAGAAATTTTGAAAAAATGTAGAAGGAGCAAACCACACCAAGGGTACAACCACCAACTATTGCAGGAAAGACAGCAACAACTGCTTAGCTTTTACATATTTTCTGCCTTCACTCGACGTTTTTCAGTAAAATTCACATGGAAATGTGTTTTATATGGACGTAAAAAGTTTTGAGCCAAAAAAACAAAAATTTGATAAAATTGTCCAAATGGAGGAAAAATGCTTGTTTCTTCGATTTCGTTATTTTGACAAGCGCCTGATTTCACCATTATGCCTCACATATGACATTTATATAGTGCTCAACCTCGATTCAAAGGCCTTGAGCCCTTTACAAAGACAAGTAGTAACACGTATTGAGTACCTTGTGTTCTGAACAAAAATCTTACTATTTTCTCTTTTGTCAAAACCAGAAAAGATTCATGCTGACTTTTGATAAAACAACAGCAAAAAAAACGAAAACAAAACACACAAAAGCAAACACACACACACACACACACACACACACACACACACACACACACACACACACACACGCACGCACGCACCAACACACACACACATAACATCATCAAATCTACTTCACCTTTTGCTTGGGAGCGACCCGAGCAAACACTTTGGTGTTGGCCAGCAACAGGAGGAAGTACTTCTTGTCCTCCGCCTGGAGATACGACAGAGCCTGGGGGAAACAACATAGAAACAACGGGTTACATTCCTCACATTTCAAAAACGTACAAATATCCCTCAAATTACACGACAAATGAAAACTTGTAAATATCCCTCATATTTCATAACAAAGAAAAACTTACTTACAAATATCCCTCATATTTCATAACAAACAAAAACTTCAAACATCCCTCATATTTCATAACAAAGAAAAACTTACAAATATCCCTCATATTTATTTATAACAGACATCCCTCATATTCATTCAAAACAGACAAAAACTTACAAATATCCCTCATATTTATTCATAACAGACATCCCTCATATTTATTTAAAACAGACAAAAACTTACAAATATCCCTCATATTTCATAAAGAAAACTTACAAATATCCCTCACATTTCATAACAAAATAAAACTTACAAACATCCCTCATATTTCATGACAAATGAAAACTTGCAAACATCCCTCATATTTCCTGACAAACAAAAACTCGCCAGAGCACCCCCCAACCACCCACTTATATTACATTTTTTTAAAATATATATTACGATATAATAATGATAAGGAAATCATATAGCTCTACGCGCTTTGCATAAATCCAAATACCACCTACAACTGTATAACTGTGATATCAGCTAAGAGGGGGAATGGGGGGGTGGGGGGAGTGTGTTTGTGCGTGGGGGGGGGGGGGTGTCAACCGGAAAAAAAAAAAAGAAATGTACCTCTCCAGTCAAACAAAGATCGAAACCGCTCAGCAGCTCTTTCTTCAGGTTGGACGGTTTGGCCTTGAGGACCGTCTTGTCGTCTATGGACTGCCAGTGCCACTCGTCAGCTGTTGAGTGAGGACACATTTTTGTTGTAAAGAGAACCTTTTCAGATTTAGTAAGAGTTTCACGGGACTTGCAACTCAAATATAAGTCATTTTAGTGCTGAGGATTTGAAGTGTTACCGGGGAGTAGTAACATACAAAGAAAAGAAGGAGAGGAGATAAGGAGGATAGATGTTTAACAGGAAAGAAGGAGCAAACCACACCACAGTACCCACAAACCACCCACACACATAGATATCAAAGACATGAAACATTTTATAAGTAATACAAACACAATAAAACAGGAAAAGATATATATAGCCAGAGAATATTAGGAAAAAATAGAAGGTGGTTGGAGGACACCCAAAAAAAGTTTTACAATTCTATTTTTTCATTGTTCGTTTTATCTGTTCACCCATCAAGCCCCATCCTCACAAGAAAAAAAAATAATAAGACAGCAACCAAAAGCTTATGTACATTCGAAACAAAACATATAACTGACTGAACTCTATATGGTAAATAATACAGCAACTCTACCAAAGATCGTATATAACAAGATAGGTCACTCAGCCAAAAAAGTGTTCGCGGAAGCCCGCGCATTGGTTAAGTTGGCGCTGTAGTCTTTGTTTTGAAGCTCTCTTTCGTTTCTCCACAAGAAGAATAGGAACAGCACAGTTTTTTTATTCACTTTTATTGTTTTTCACACAAGTAAGGTAACTCTGATAGCAAAGTCCGCACTTTTTCGAAGAGGGCGCCACCAAATTTTTAGGACACTTTTTTAATTGGCTCAAAGATAGGAGTGAACTATCTTGTTATGGACGATCTTTGACTCTACTCACCAAGTTTATTCGGCGGTGTCAGAATGAGCGTCGATTCTTTGCGCGTCATGCGGAGCTCCTTGGCCACGTGGCAGGCAGTCAGAGGGTTGTCCCCTGTGATCATGGCCACCTGAGGTGTGGAGGAAAAGTTTGGGTAAAAATTGTTTTTGTTTTGTTTTGAGGGTTTGGACACTTTTGCACCTTTCTCATAATCAGCTTGTTAATAATAAATAACGATAATAATAAAGGTTAGTTTAGTTTTACTAGAGGTTTTACGGCGCTCGCAACTGCATATGGTCATTTGAGCGCCAGAAGATTAGAGGTGTTACAAGAGAGTAACAAACATAAAAAAGAAGGAGGGGAGATAAGGACGATAGATGTTTGATAGCAAAGAAGAAGCAAACCACACCAGAGCACCCGCCAACCACCCACTTATCAGTTTGTTAATAATAATGATAATAATAATGGTTATAACAATCATTACAATAATAACAACAAAACAATATCATTAAAAATAATAATAATAATAATAATAATAATAATAATAATAATAATAATAATAATAATAAAGCTATTATTATTATTTTAATTAATTGATTATTATTATTATTATTTCTATTATTATTCCTATTATTATTTTTAGAATCATTATACTAAAAGACTGTGCATAAGAACATGTTAATGTCCCCCCTTTGGGAATGGCCTAAAGACACCTCAGTCATTGGCACTACCGCAGGGGTCCACAAAAAAACTTTGGCGACCACTCACGTGATGGGAGGCGTTGACAATTTCCTTCATGGCCGCCTTCGAGTCGGACTTGAGAGGGCAGGAGATGATGACGAACCCGGCAAAGTCCAGGTCTTTCTCCACTTGCTCTCGTGACACTTCACGCAGCTTTTGTTCACGACAACAGCAGGAAAATGAGAACAGATCAGACAAAGTTAAATTGATTGTGTCCATACAGAACAGAAATTCTAGTGCATGAGATGGGGGAAGGGGGATCCAGAGGGGGGGAGGGAGGGGGGGGATCCGGAGGGGAGGGGGGGATCGTAGAAAAGGGGGTGGGAAGAGGGGAAGGGGGGATCCGAGTGAAGGGGGGGGGGGGGAAGGTGGTGTGGGAAGGGGGATGGGAGAAAAAGGGGGTGGGAAGAGGGGACGGGGACAGATGGGGGAAGGGAAGGAGGGGAAGGGGGGGATGGGAGAGGGGAACACAAATAATTTTTCTAAAAAATTCTTGAGCTTAAGTGTCAAAAACTGAACATTATTCCCTCAATGTCCACGAATTAATATTTAGATATTTTAAATGAACAAAACATGAGTTGAAAAGAAGGGGGGGTTGCCAAACATAATGGAAAAAAAAGCCTCCACACTAAGCATCTACAAAGACAGGCAGTTACAGTCAAAGCGTACCGACAATCAAAGAGAATTTCAAACACTTGCAACTTGCGTTATCTGCTATCTGTTCTCACTGACCGGTTGGGGGTGACATTAGCTCAGTTGGTGTCAGGTTGGGCTATGGCGTAGATGGCTCTAGTTTGGATCTCAACTGAGACGATCTTGAACGAGGGATGTTTGAGGATTTTTCAAGGTAACGGACGGTGAATACAGAGATTCCAACTTTTAAACATCCTCACAAAGTTGAAAGGGGCATTACAAACCAATGAAATGACCTAATTGTTGATCCATTTTCCACAAGTGGTTGGCAGGTGCTCTGATGCGGTTTGTTCCTTCTTTCCTATCAAGCATGTATTGTCCTTATCTCTTCTTTGGTATGTTACTGTCTCTTAACACCTCTAATCTTCGGCACCTATAAGACCTTATTGTGTTGCAAGAGCTGTAAAATTCTTACTAAAACTAGAACTAAAAGACTCTGTTATCTATAGATATTATATTTGTGAAAGTTCATCATTTTGATCGCCTAATACTTCCGAACCACTAAACTTTCAAATTTGAAAAAATGAAGGATGGTTCAGAATCATTTACAGGGTGCACAGTTAAATTAAGGAGTCTGAAGTCAGTGTAATTTAATTTTCAGTTTTTCATTAGTTTCGTTAAGATCTAATTTTGGGAAAGTCCATCTTCTAAGATGCCACTGTAAATAAATGAGACTTCTGTTCACATGCAGTGTGCACTAAATCCGCAATGATTAGACGATCAATTCTTTTTTTTGAGTCCGTTCATCAAACGAGGTGGGTACCCAGCTAGTTCTTCATAATTTCTGTGGACCAACTGACCTGTTGATGAGAGAGACTGCCCAGCCCCTTGTAGCCCAGGGCCAACACCCGCGCCCCGCGCCGCGCCATCTTCAGGTACACCTCGTCATAGAGGGACGGCAGGCTCTTAAACTGAAAAAAAAAATAATAAGATCAGCAAATTGTAGACACTTCCACATGACCAGCCACCCTTGGCCTTACAGACAGGTCAGGGCAAACAATGGCTGTCAACTTTGCAGTCTGAGATAAAGAGCTCTCGTCTGTAAGATCAGAATAATTTTTAACTCTCGTGTAAAGTGAAACTGTCCGTGGCTGCCATCCGTTGTCCAGGAGAAAAGCGGTTGTCTTGACAGGAGGACTTTGTAATGATTGTCTGATGTGAAAATGGGAATGAACTGTGTTGTGAGTGTTGAAAGAATGATTCTCTGTTGTCACGGTTGTGTCCCCCTTCTTGTGACGTCATAAATTTGCCCTCGTTTCCATTCGGCACACGGGATTTCAGTGTGATCTAAAGAAATAAAGTTCAGTTTTCCGGCAGGTAGACACACAGAGCAGACGTGTTGTTGTCTCTCTTCATGTATTAATCTTTTTGCATAATGTGAGGCCATAAGTAGCCGTCACAGACTTCTTGGGCAGTGTCATTATAATGACAAAGGAAAAAAGACAAGGTGGGAAGTGGCTGCTTGTACTTGTGATTGTCTTGAGCAAGTGGCCGATAAACCACCAAGGGATCACCAACTAACGCAACTTGTACATGCAGCCTCCGAGATATTTTGCCCGCATCCGAGAGGGCTAGGTGTCCAATCTTACCTACCCAGAGCTCAGGCGTTTGGCTGAAGGACAGCGGTAAGGAGGAGCCACGGGAAGCAGGAGAAAAAGTCGGTAGTAAAGAAGAGAGGAGCGTAGAGAAGACTGGGGGTGGGCTGAGGGTGGAGGGAGAAAGTGGAGATGAAAGCAGATGACAGAACAGGACTAGAGACCAGAAAAGGAGGGGGAGGGAGAAACTTTTAGAGCAAAAAATGCTTTCCTCTCAGACAGGTTTCGATCCCGAGACCTCCTGAATGAGAGACGGAACATTGCACCAGTTGATCGTTGAATCAACGAGAGACCCTTGGTCCTGACCTGCCCATCAATGATTTATTTATAGATGCACCAGCCATCCATGTCCAGGTGCTGTTTTAGCCTCTTTTTCGAGACCCTTGGTCTGAAATAAAAAACGGTGAAGCGGAGAAAAGAGCCAAAGACCCACCATGGACTTGAGAGTCTCGGGAGCTCCCTTGACGGCCGCCATGTAGTTGATCTCTGTGCTGCCCAGAGGCGTGTGGCCCACGATGACCGACATCCGCTTGAGGGCGCTCTGGAAGTGGAAGCGGTGGTAGATCTTGAGCCCATGCGTCTTCCGCTTCTGAGGCACCACCGTCTCTCCTGGGTGGGGGGAGAAAGAAATGTGAGGTATCGAGACATTGTGGTGAAATCAAGCGCTCGTCAAAATTAGGAAATCGAAAGAATCTGGGTTTTTTGTTAGTTCGACAATTTAAAACACATTTTTGCTTTTTGGCTCAACAACAAACAGACAGACAGACCAACAAAACCACTTCACTTTTTCATCAGTATCCAGTAAACAGACTGAACGACTGAGCAACTGACAGACAGACAGACAAATTCAAAGATTCACAGACAGACACACAGACAAACAGACAGACACACAGGCAGACACACAGACAGACAGATAGACACTCACAGAGAGACAGACAGACAGACAGATAGACAGACAGACAGACAGACAGACAGTCAGACTCATACACTCAAAGAAAGACATACACACACACACACAAACAGACAGACAGACAGCCAGAACAACAAAATGAGCTAACCTTCTGTGACAGACAGACAGACATAGAAAGACCGACCGACATGCAAACAGACCGACCCACTGACCAACATCAGACAGACAGACCGACCGATCGACCAACCGACAGACAAACAGACAGACCAATAAAATAAGCCCACCTTTAGTGAGCGTCCAGTCGACAAACTTGAGCGTGGCTTTCTCCAGCGGGTCCCCGACCAGCTCGGCCTCCAGCTGTACCAGCGAGTGACAGGTGGCCAGGACCTGCGTGGTCTCCAGGGGCGCGTCTGTCGGCGACACGATCTCCGAGCCACTGGAGGTGTGTGTGCGAGAGAGGGAGAGAAGGAGAAGTTTAGTTTTAGTAAGAGTTTTACAGCACTTGCAACACAATATGGTCATATTTTAAGTGCCTAAGATTAGAGGAGTTACAAGAGAGTAATAAAGATAAATAAGGAAGGAGGAGAGATCAGGACGATAGATTTGATAGGAACAAACCACATCAGAGCACCCGCCAACCACCCACAGAGGGAGAGAGGGGGTGGGGGGATACCCTGTTTAGAGCCAACAACAACTATTAGTGAATAACTCACTTGAGTCTAGCAACAACAACAACAGCAGCAACAACAACATCAAAAGAAGCAGCAGCCACAGCAACAACAACAACCACAATAAACAACAACCACTCACTTGAGTCCTGTGATTCCCTCCACAACCAGGTTGTCACTGGTCAGAGTCCCCGTCTTGTCAAAACAACAGATGTCAATCTTCCCGGCGAAAGGGATGCGGAATGGTTCAGTGCAGTAAACGTCTGAAAGGCACAACAGACCAAAATAAATGCAAACTGTCAGTAAACAGATTTGACTATAAAGATATTTTTGACAATAATAATTATAATGGTCATATGACAAAACAGTTTAAGTTTTAGTAGAGGTTTTACAGCGCTCACAACTGCATACGGTCATATGAGCGCCAGAAGATTAGAGGTGTTACAAGAGAGTAACAAACATAAAAAAGAAGGAGTGGAGATAAGGACGATAGGTATTTGATGGGAAAGAAGAGGCAAACCACACCAGAGCACCCGCCAAAGACCCACTTTTAACAGTTTTGACCAACAAATAAATGCAGGGTGTCTTTAAACAGGTTAGAATGACAGCTATAAAGATTTTTTTTTTAAATAATAGTCATACTGACAAAACAATGTGCAAGCAAGAGAGTATGAAATGTGTATGCTCATAATACAGAATTTCATCATCTCTGTATTCTTTATGAGGCTTCTTTTAAAAATTAAAAAAACAGACGTAGACATTTCTTACACTCCTGTCGACATAGATTAGATCGTTTAGGAGACGGGCTTCCGACTCTGCCTCTCAGGGCCAACTAGTGCAGATAGGCATGCAACATCCCAGTGGAAAGACAGAGATACTCAATAACAATTTTTTCTGAACGAAACACACTTACACAGCTTGGTGAGGGCTAGGAGCGACGTGTTGACGGCCAGCGACAGCTCAATGGGAAGCTCAGGGGGCACCACAGAGGTCAGGATCAGCGTGCACTCCAGAAACAGCTTGTAGCGATTCCTCGACGGGTCCTCTGTGCCTGAAAGTTTTTAGATTTTGGTATAAGGTTTTACGGAAAGTCAAAAGTCCTAAGGACAGAGGCACAACGAAAAGAGCAGGTCACAATAGAAGGAAATGCACTAGAAGACATTGAATCCTTCTGCTGTCTTGAGAGTATAATCGACAGAGAAGGAGGAACAAGTGCTGAAATAAAGTCATGCATTGGAAAAGCACAGGCTGCTTTCAAAGCTGAGGATTTTCAATTCAAATGTGACGTCAGCCCTGTTGTATGGATGTGAGACATGGAACGCATCACAGACTTGCATAAAGAGGATCCAGGTTTTCTTGAACAAGTGTCTAAGAAAGTTACTGAGGATCAGATGGACAGACAGGGTCACCAACGAGGAAGTGTTAAGGAAAACAAGACAGATCTTATCTTTTCCATTCTTGTCTTATCTTTTCACATCTTATCTCATCTCATTTCATTTTATCTTTTCTCATCTCATCTTTTCTCACCTCACCTCACATCCTTTCATCTCATCTCACCTCACCTCACCTCACCTCACCTCACCTCATCTCATCCCCCCCCCCTCACCTTTAATCCAGACGTAGGCGGCGGCGATGATGGCAAACACCAGGAGGAACATGATGAAGAAGAAGGTCTCCAGGTTGTTGGCCGTGACGCGCTTGACCCCGTACAGGATGGTGCGCAGCAGCTTGCCCTGCGACGTGTTGAAGCTGTGGCGCAGCACGTACGCGATGCAGCCGTCATCGCCAGCTGGCGGGGGAAACGATAATAATAATAATTTGTAAACATAATAGTAATAATAATAATAGATAATAATAATCATCATAATCATAATAGTAATAATAATAATAGATAATAATCATCATCATCATCATAATAGTAGTAATAATAATAATAGATAATAATAATAATCATAATCATAATAGTAATAATAATAATGATAGATAAAAATAATAATCATAATCATAAGAGTAATAATAATGATAGATAAAAATAATAATCATAATCATAATAGTAAGAATAATAAAAATAATAGATAGCATTAATTTGTATAGTGCAAATCCCCGCTCAACAGCAAGCTCTATGAGCTTTACCATCTACACTATTACCTCAGTAGACCTGAGAGCATTCCTTGATTAACATTTTGAAGTGTGTTCCACACAGAAATGTGTTTTTTAATCGATATTAAAGATGGGCAAAAAAAAGAAAGAAAGAAAAAACAGAAATTTAAAAAAAAATTGCCCAATAAATGGAAACATCAGTTTCTTCGATTGCATTATGTTGACTTACTTTACTTTACTTCACTTTATCCACCTTATGGTCACCAGAGGAAAAGCAAAAGTCTTTCTCCCGTTCGTTGTATCACCTGTTGCATGGTTATGTCGTTCTTGACTTATGTTTCTCTGACCCCCTCTATCCATCTTTTCCTGAGCCTGCCCCTTCCCTCATTTCCATCTGATTTCCAGTTGCATTATTTTGACGGGCGCCTGACCTCACCTCGATGCCATGCACAATTCCCCCCCTCTCACCTTTGAGTCCCGCGCCGGTCTTGCTGGGCGAGGTGTGCTGTACGACCTTGGTCCCCCCGTATAGGACGTGCAGCTTGCCGTCCTGGTCCATGTTGAGGAAGTGGTCCTGCTCCACGTTCTCCACCGGCTCCTGCAGAGTCCAAAGAATTGTCCTCACTTTTACTTTTATTCGTTTTAGTAAGGATTTACGGCGCTCGCAACTGCACAAGGTCATAAGAGCGCCAAGGGGTGAATGTCAACAGAGAAGTCCTTACAGGGAATGAGGCTTACTCTGCTCACCCCTCTAGCCTAAACAGCATAAAGTCAGCTTCGACTATCAAGGCACCCCGGAAATAGCAGTTCACAAGAGAGTGACAAACATACAACAAAAGAAAAAGAGGAAAAATGACGATAGAAACGATGAGGAAAGAAAAAGCAACAGTTCCCCCTATGTTGTTGCGGCACAGTATGAGCATGACATTGATAAATCAGCCCATTTACAATTCTACTGTGCATAAGAACATCATCACAGGCACAGACTCCCCAGCCAACATTGACTCATCCGCAACACACGGCTCTAGGAGAAGCAACATGTCACAACGAACAATCCCACCACACCCAACCTTCAACCCCCTTCCTCCCCCACCTTCACTCTCCAACTCTCCTTCCCCCCCCTCCCTCCTTCAACCCCCTTCCCCCATCCCATCCTTCCATCCACCTATCTTTCGACACCGGCACAGACTCCCCAGTCAACATAGACTCGCCCACAATACATGGCCCTCAGAGAAGCAACATGTCACAGCGAACACAATCCCCCTACCCCCAAGCTTCAATCCCCTTCCTCTCCCCACCAAGCTCCCTCCCTCCCCCCCCCACCCCCCTCACCCTTCCATCCACCTCACCTTCATCACTGGCACAGACTCCCCAGTCAACATAGACTCATCCACGATACACGGCCCTCGGAGAAGCAACATGTCACAGGGAACAATCTTGTCATCCTGAGACCGCACTGTGGGACGGAGGTCACAGTGAAGATACCGTTAGACTGAGCACAAACACGAAAAAACATAATTTCTTATTCTATCATCCTACCTAGAGTTTTAGAGTTTTATGACACTTGCAACACAAATAAGTAAGTAAGTAAGTTTACTCAGTGTTTAAGGCCATTGGCCGACATCACATCATATAAAACACTCATTTGTTAAATAAAGTTTCCATAATGAAAAAGTACAGGTTGTGCATATATCTCTTATCATGGGTCAAGCATTGCATATTTCTGTCACTGGGCCGAATCAGTCTGCAACACAAATAGGTCATATGTGAGGCGAGCTGACAAAATGAGTTATTCCTTGCAATCCGTACATAGAAATATCTGCCGAAAATTTGTAGATTTTCAATTCATTCCATTTTCTTCAAGTTTAATATGTCTTTTATAATTTTTTACTTACAAATTGTCTAAACTCCACTTATAAATTTGTCCTATTTATTTCCAATAGGCTAAAATCAGAGAAGTAACTCATTTAGTCAGCAAACCTCACAAATAAGTGCAGAGGATTAGAGGCTTTACTATGAGAGCGTAACATACCAAGGAAAGAAGGATGAGAGAAAATGACAATAGATGCTTGACAGGAAAGAAGGAGCAAACCGGACTTTCCTATTCTAGGAGGAAATGCTAATACAACTTGCAATGAAATTAAATACATTTAGATTTTTAGTGGTGCCTCTCTGAAAAAATATATTGAGTAAAGAAAAGCTCATTTATCATTTACACAACACTGTTTCAGAGTGTTCTTGGATCTGCGGGGAGAATAATATAGACCGTAAAGTGCATACAGCTTGTTGCTGAGCAGGGATATGTGCTATACCAATATTATTTATTATCTATCATTATTATCACAAAAGAATAAACACCACAACTACTCACCTATTGAGACTATATCTCCTGGTAACAGCTCGTCTGTCATAATTTTTATCCATTTCCTATTCCTGTACACCTGTGGAGGTACACAACATAATAGCACACAAGTGAACAAAGAGCTCTTGGACAAACATTAAGATACCGGACTCGTAATCATGAGGCTGCAGGTTCGGGGGTTCGAGCCGCGGGCCCGACGTTGTGTCCTTGGGAAAGGCACTTTACACGAATTTTCCTCACTTCACCCAAGTTGGAATGGGTACCCGGCCATAGACAGCGAAAGATCTTGTATGTTAGTGTTTTAGCGCCTATAAATGGCTGCTTGCACTGTATGCTTCCCAGGAAGTTGACGTTGTTTCAGAATGCTCTCAGGTCTGCTGGGGTAATAGTATAGATTGTGAAGCGCATAGGGCTTGCTGTTGAGCGGAGATTTGCGCTATACAAATGCTATCTATTATTATTATTATACCTTCGACTATGAATATCAAAATACCTCCTCAAAAGAATACTGAAGAATGTAAGGGGAAAAAGTGGGACATTGACCTGACCAGAGATCAACTTTAAACCAAAAGTGAAAAAAAAAAATGGTATATCTTTAACGCCCCTATCAACACTATTAGGTTATTTAAGAGGCAAGACCTCCCAAGTTTAACGTCCATCTCTGATAGGACCGAGCCAAATGGGAAAGTTGTTTAATTTAAAGTGCCTTTCCCAAGGACAAAACGTAGGACTGAGCTGAGGCTTAAACCCCCCCAACGCGTAATCTCACGATTACGAGTCCGGTAGCCTCACCATAAGGCTACTAAACCAAAAGTAGAAGTCACAGCCAATACAACGGGGAAGTAAAAACCAATCTCAAGATGAAAGTAAAGGACACAACACCCTTCCGTTTTATGTTTTGGTATTTTAGCAAGCATTTTATGGCATTTGCAACACAATAAAATCATATAAGAGTGGAAGATTAGAGGTGTGACAAGAGAGTAACAAACACAAGGAGGAGAGACAATGAAAATAGAAGTTTAATAGGAAAGAAGGAGTAAACCACACCCGAGCACCCGCCAACCACCCCACTTAACACTTTGCAGCCACACAGCCAGCAGAACAAACTACCCCATCTAGTCACCCAGCCAGGAAAGCGACTTCAACAGACTTCTCGGGCCTGGCGCAGCAGTCAGATGACTAGAACGGATAATTTTCACCGTCGCATTATTGCGTCATGTGACTGCAAAGTGTTAATCGCTCTTATCAAACATTTCGAACCTGAATGAGGTAGGGCTGTATCCCCATCTTGCGTATCTCCGCCATGTTGCGCAGCTGCTGTTGCACCAGGGTGGCCTCGAAGGTGATGAGCATGAAGAGGGTGAAGACAGAGTAGTACCAGTACTCATCCAGGCACCATAGGCCTACACAGAACACCTGCGGCCATGCGACAGTGAAACAGTCAACGGGACATGTCAACAGAATCTTTCCATTTGGGTTGGGGTTGGTTTTTTTTTGGTTTGTTTTATCCGGTGTTGTACGCCATGTCAACATGTTCTGCTTTTGGATTGTTGGGGGGTTTTCTTTGTTTAAGTGAGTGTTTTACTGCACGTACAACACAATTAGGTCATAGAAGTGCCAAAGATCAGAGCATTCTAGGGTCTGCTGGGGCAACAATAGTTGTATACATAACACATAGAGCATGTTGTAGATCATGGATATATATACATGCCCTACATGAATGCAATTATTATTATTATCATGATTACTATTATTATTACATCTATATTTGCAACTGTAAATTCAAATTTGACGCCTGTGATGGCCTTTCTTTGACCTTTGTCATCCCTGCAAACTAAACAATCCAAAGAGCACCCTGAAAAGAGTTCCTAATAAAAAGTCTAGAGAAACACTCTTGAGAAACACTCACTTGAAACACAAAGAAAGGAGCAGTCGCTCTCTCTCTGAAGAGTTCCATAAATTTCGGAATGTCCATGACCATACTGCAGAGAATACATGTGGGGAAAAAATAAACAGTCAGAAAAAACAGCAGGGGGGGGGGGTGATATGGTTAATTTACTGTGAAATGTGAAAACACTTTAAAAAGAAAAACTAGTTTCTATTTCAATAACCCCAAAAATACCACGGTCTAGCTATTTGGTCACTACACATTTTGTTGTTGAAATGATTTCTAGTAGAAATTTAGAAGAAAACGGAAACCAAAGGAAAAGGTTATTTAACTACACTAAAGTCTCTATATGAAAAAAGTGTTGATCTGTTAAATATGTGGGCATAACGGGGTAAGAGGTGGGAGTGGGGTGTGTGTGTGTGTGTGTGTGAACGTGTGTGTGTATGTGTGTGTGTGTGTGTGTGTGTGTGTATA